TATTTTTTTTCCAAAAGGCAACTGGACTTGCTTGGGGGTTGGAAAATGCCTTGCTTCTCATCCAAGGAGCTTCTTCAGTTCTTCTTGGATGAGAAGCGAAACGTTTTCCAAAAAAACCAAACCAAACCAAGAGTCCAGTTGCCTTTTGCAAAAAGCACCCTTGCAACAATGAGGAATCACAACAAGGGAGAACATCTGATGTCAGTCCAAGGTCTCCACTTCCCGTGTGTGTGTGTGTGTGTGTGTGTGTGTGTGTGTGTGTGTGTGTGTGTTTGTCCAGGCAAACCTCGCAGGCCTTGGGAAGTTCACGCTGTGCCCCTGAGAAAGGATGCTACACAAACAGGGCTATTCCCGAAGAAGCCAATGCTAATGGATCTGGCAAAGGCTACAGAGACTGTGTGATTGTGTGTCTGGCCCCCTTCTCTTTGTTTAAAAGCTCCCGGTTTGTTTACAAGCCTCATCGATTAGAAATCTTTGGGGGACGAGGCCCGACTTTTACACACACACACACTGCTTGGATGGATGGATGCAATTACCCAGCCGACCAATTATTAAAAACGGGATAATATAATTGTACCATTAGGGAGAAGGGCTTGGAGCGGGGGGGGGGAGGGAAAGGGGAGGACAATACAGAAAAGATGGGTTTTATGTGCTATACATTTTATTGTTTTGAAAATCCAGCTGCTCCTTTTCTCCCCTGTAAGGCAGATCTCTGGAGTTTATTTGAACTTTTTTACTTCTAGTATTAAGGAGGGTCTGCCAGCAGGGACACAGCTGGGAAGAAAGAAGGGGGGAGGAAAGTTGTACGCTGTAGTTTTAGAAGAAAGAACATGCTTTTAAAGAACAGCCTCTCAGATGCATAACCGCAGAGGCACAACCCAGTTTAAGTATCTGCTTAACAGAGCAAAGTACGAGACTCAGAATGACACACAAACATTTGCACACAGCCTCTGGGTTTTATCGCTGTAAGCTGCTGAGTTGTGTGTGTGTGTGTGTGTGTGTGTGGGAGAGAGAGAGAGAGAGAGAGAGAGAGAGAGAGAGAGAGAGAGAGAGAAGGATGGTAGGAAGGAAGGAAAGAAGAAAAGAAAGAGAGAAGAGAAGAGAGAAAGAGAGGGAGGGAGGGAGGAACAAAGAGAAAGAGGGAAAGAAAAAGAAGGAAGGAAAAAAGAAAGAGGGAGGGAGGAATAGAAGAGAAGAGAGAAAGAGAGGGAGGGAGGAAGAGAAGAGAGGGAAAGAGAGGGAGGGAGGGAGAAAGGAAGGAAAAAGAAAAAGAAAGAAGGGAGGGA